AAGTGCATATCATAATCAAAGATATGTACAACCACAAAACAAAACACTCTGCCTTTTTGTTGTTGTTCACCTTCAACTCTCAAGTACAAATGAACTTGGGAATGCACCATGAGATGGCAGCACTGTCAGAAGCTCCCACGCTCCACATGGAAGCTGTTCTTTCCTGTGGCTGAGCCTTATGTCTAGCACACAGCTCTTTGCTTACCATTTTACCTTTCCTTTTGCAAGAGCTGAGTCAGGAGGGAGCAGCTGTAGCTACCTGAGGTGACAGGCTTGGTTCAATATGTTAATGCAAATTTTATCCTGTAAGGAAAAAAGGAACGAGATCCTTTGTGATCCTGAGTACACTAATAAATCTTAATGGCTATGAGCAGCCTCATCTGCAGCTTCTACTTATACCCATAGGCCCAGGAGTTCTATTTAAGGTTAGCCCTGGGCCTTCAGTCCTCACCTGAGCTATGTTAGAAGGTTGGTCTCACTGCCTTTGTGGTTGCTCGACCTCACCCTAACCATGACTGAGGGATTTTGCTCCAGGCTTCACCTTGGGTCTCGCTCTTTGTTCTGATACTGCCTTATGATCTGGACTCTTGGCTGAATGTGACTTCTATCTCTAGGTCTACCTGGCTCAAGTACTGTGAGAGTGGGTCCTGGATAGTGAGGTCCCTGCCCTGACAGTACAAGCAGTTATTAAGTTACCCTTTTTGGCTCCTAGCTCACCTTCCTCTCAGGGAACAATCCTGTTCTTACTGTTCCCTGACAACCTCAAAGATCAGATCCACCTTAAAGTTACTTGAATCACTGCTATTTTAAATGGGTTGAAAACATGGTCTAATTAAAAGCCTATGTCAAAGATGAAACAGCTTCTCCCCTTTCATGCAGCAGTTTTCATATCCTTTTTCTGACTCTCATATTCACAGGGTTGGTAGTTGTGGTGTTCCTACAGGAAAAAATAGATCTTTCTTTCCCTACTACCTGTGGGCCTCCCATCGGTTTATACCTGGTCACAGACGCAGGCAAATGCTTTCCCTAGTCCAGCTCTGGGATCCCCAATATAAGAAGGATTTGGACCTCCTGAAGCAAGTCCAGAGGAAAACCATGAAGATGACCAGAGAGATGGAGCACCTTTCCTCTTAGGATAGGCTGAGACAGTTGAGGCTTTTCAGCCCGGAGGACAGAAGGCTCCAGGGTGACCTTACAGCACCTAAAGGGGACCTACAAGAAAGCTGAGGAGGGACTTTTTACAAGGGCATATGATAGGACAAGGGTAATGGCTTCAAACTGAAAGAGGACAGATCCAAACTAGATATAAGGAAGAAATTTCTTATAATGAAGGGTAGTAAAACATTGAAACAGGTTCTCCAGAGAGGTGATTGATGTTCCATCTCTGGAAACATTCAAGGCTGGGTTGGACAGGACTATGAGCACCCTGGTCCAGGTGAAGGCACTTTGCAGAGGGGTTGGACTACACGACCTTCAAAGGTCCCTTCCTACCCAAACCTTTCTATGACTCTATGCAGTTGTAATACCTTCAAAATGAAATAGGGTAGATTCAGATTAGATATTAGGAAGAAATTCTTTACTGTAAGGGTGGTAAAACACTGGAATAAACTGCACGGAGAAGTTGTGGATGCCCCATCCCTGGAATTGTTCCAGGTCAGGTTGGACAGGGCTCTGAGCAACCTAGTCTAGTTGAAGGTGTCCCTGCTCATGGTAGGGGGCTTGGAGGTAGATGGTCTTTAAGGTCCCTTCCAACCCAAACCATTCCATGATTCTATGTATTTGTGGTAATAGTTGAGTATTTCTTCCACCTAACAGCCCTATGAACTGAGGTACAAGATCCCACTGCTCACAATTTTTCTGTTCTCAAATCTGAAAACATGATACTTTGTGGTCATTTTCTCCCATTTTCCCCATATGAGGTCCTTCAATGCAAAATATCTGTGACATAATTCAGCTTTGTGCAACTTACGAAAACATCAGCATGTATGTGATTCAGTGTAAGCCATGTGAGCAGAGGCCTGAGCCTCTCCATAAACTGTTGTTTTTTCGGTGTGCTGCCAGCCTCCCCCTTTTATCACAGAAAAGAATACAAGAACTCTGTCAAGCTACAAAAGCACTCCAAGGAGTAAGTAACAAGAGTTTACTGGTGACCTCCAGGAGAAGCAAAAAGCATAGTGTGGTGTCTTGGTTTCAAGACAAATATTGGAGTGGGAGCTCCAGTAAAATGAACTCCCTCCCCAAATAGACAAAAATGCAACGAGGTATAAGTGAAAAAATAACAATTTACTGACAAGCAAAATAGCAACACATAAAGATACAAAAGAACTGTCTTAACCCCAAAAAGGGGGGAATTCATGGCCTCATGTGGTATCCTGGGAACAACGGGGAAAGAAAATGGCAGAGGGTTCTCTCCGCCAACCCCCCGTCTGCCCAACTAAACCTAAAGAAACAATAGGAGAACAGGGGCAAAAGCAAAAAACCAAGAAAACTGTGTTGCTCACAAGAAGTTACACTATTAAACTGACACTCTACATCACCCGGTCAGGTTCAGGTCTCAACTGCAGTGGTGGTATTAGCTCGGAGTCTCTTTGTTCCATGCCACATGTTGCCTCTGGCACGGTGTCTTGACCCATTTGGCTGGGCTGTGGAGCAGCAGCAGGGGCTGCTCTGTCACGGGGGAACAGCGATTCAAGAGGTGGGAGCTGGATCAGTGCGGCAGCGGTTCGGGAGATGGCCGGGGTTCCCCATGTGGACTGTTGCGGTCCCGCGTGGTGGCAGCGATCAATTTCACTTTTTTCTTTCCCCACCTACAGAGGAGGGTGAGTGGCGAAGGCAACGGCGCGACCCCTGGGGCTGCTTCGATCCCAGCATGGAGCAGCGAGGCAGCAGCTCCCAGCTTTGCTGCTGTTCCAGTGAGGCAGGAGTGATTAATGACAGTGAAGTGAGACCGCGGAGCAACTCCGATCCGCGGAAAAAACCCTCTGGAACCCCCCGCGCCAGCTGGGCGGAGTGGCCCCTTCAGATGACATACGAATAGTCAGCGCTATGCCTCCCTCCCCTGGCATGTAACCATAACATGTGGATTCACCTGGCATACTCACTCAGTGAATCAATTTCCAGCTGCACACAACAGCCTGGTATCCCATCCTTTGTACATCTGAAATTGTAACCCCTCCACAGTTGTCTAGCATGACTTGAAGAATTCCATGGTTTTTAATGGAATTTTCGAAGTGTTAAAGTGTGAAATACTGTGTCCTTGAAAATAGCTTTTAAAGCATTGCTCTGTCACACGGCAAGACATAAATGAGTCACAAATTGCACACACGTGCAGGACTGCTTCCCAAAGCTAGCCTCAGTCTATTGCCTAGACCATGACCAGCCTTGTGAATTAAAGAATTACAATGAGAAACTCCCTGTGAGTAGCTCTTGCAAGAGTGAATTATCTCATTACAGGGAGAAATACTGTTTAATTATAAAAAACTTTGTACAAAGAAGCTTAATATCTAATGATGAAAACTGAATTGTTCTCTATATTATTCAACATTTTATACCTCATTGCTGAGAAGACAAAGCAATCTTCCACAGTCAGGAATATATGCCTGTCTTTCTACAGAAGTATTAAAAAGTATTGAGGAAAGAATACTCAGCCTTTTAATTGACTGATTATTCAAGGAAGCAGAATGAAAAGATTGTGAGTGGAACATTAGCCCACGATAATGGACTCCTAATGACGCTGCTACATAATTGAGGTACAGCAGATAATTCTACGAAAAATAGATTGAGCTACAAGGCTTTTTTTCGGAGTTGGAAACATTAATCCTTTGTCAACTTTTCTGCGTCATTAGTGAGCAGATCAGCGCTGAAGGTGTCAGGTATCTTCTAAATGTACTGACAGTACTTTCCATTAAAATAAGTAGAGAGAAGATGCTCAGCACTTTCAAAAGTTATGCAGCCTTTTACAACTGTTTTCAGTATTGTCAACTGACAGCTGATGAAAACCTGAGGTACATGCTGATGTTATTTTAAATACAGTAACAGATGTAAGTTGCTCACAATGGGTGGACCTTCTTACCATGGATGTATTTAAAACTGCTAGGAGAAGAGGAGGCTGCTGGAGAGGAGGAGGCTCAAGGGGTAACCTTATCACTCTCTACAACTACCTGAAAGGAGGTTGTACCCAGGTGAGGGTCGGCCTCTTCTCCCAGGCAACCAGCAACAGAACGAAAGGACACAAACCCAAGCTGTATCAAGGGAGGTGTAGGTTGGACATCAGGAAGAATTTCTTCACTGAAAGGGTGATTAGACATTGCAATGGGCTGCCCTGGGAGGTGGTGGAGATTCAGTCCCTGGAGGTGTGGAAAGAGTGGATACGGCACTTCGTGCCATGCTGTAGTTAATGTAGTGGTCATAGGCTGGTTCGGTCATGGGCTGGACTCGATGATCTCAGAGGTGTTTTCTGACCTAACTGATTCTGTGATTCTGAGAAGGCGCATTTTGAGATGAAAGAAAATGGAAGGGAAAAAAAAAAAAAAAAAAAAAAAAGCAATGCAGGGTTCCTGTTGGGATGCTGGGAGAGACCACGTCTCTCGCTGACTTACGGGCATCCTTCAGATGGCATATTATTTCCATTGTTACTACCTTTCGGCTGCCTATGTTATTCCTTAACACCACGCTCACAGAGCTCCCACTCGCAAGCACAGCGCCGCCTGGAAGGGAGCAGCACCGCACTGCCCGTGTGCGCTGCGGGGCTCCCTCACAGCCCTCCGCTCCCCGCCGGGGGGACCCGCTCGCTCCCGGGGCCGCGGGGCGGGGCTGCTGCGGCCGCGCCTGCGCGCGCGCTCCTGCCGCGGCGGATGAGCGGATCAAGCGGCGACCGGGCGGCGCCGCGCGGGCGGGGCAGGAGCGGCGGCGGCGGCGGCGGCGGCACTGGCACTGGCACTGGCAGTGGAAGTGGCAGGAGCAGGGACGGGGCAGGAGCGGCGGCAGGAGGAGGAGCGGTTGGTGCCGCGAGGGGCTGGCGGAGCCCGCGGCGGGGAGGGGTCCTGGCCGCCTCCCACCCCGCACCGTCCGGCTGCCCCTCCGCGCCTCCCGCCGGACGCGGCTGCGGGCAGAGGTGAGAGTGGCGGCGGGTCCGGGGCAGCGGACGGGAGTCGGGCTGGGGGTGTGTCATAATGCCACCCCTGTCCCTGTCGGCGCTGCGCTGCCGGCGGTGGCAGGAGGAGCTGGCGTGTGTGTCGCCGCCCCGGCGCTGGGCGGGAGGGGCTCTGGGAGCCCCTCGGAGTGTCCGGCGGTGCTGGGCCCGCGGTGGGTGTTGCGGGACGCTCGGCGCTGGCCGGACCGGGTCCCGCAGAGGAGGCTGAGCGGGGCGCGGCAGCCCGGGTCGGTGTCGGACCCCCGCGCTCTGGTGGAGGGGGCACCTCGGCCGGGGGCTGCGGGGCCGCCTCGCCATCCGTGGCTGTTCTGATTGCCGCGGTGACACCCCGGGACACCCTGGGGTCCCCCAGGCACGGGTGGAAACCGGCCGCGCTAAGTACCGAATGCAGTTAACATTTAGCTCCTTTGACTGTCGGCGGCCGCCTTCCCCTCGCATTGGGGAAACAATCTTCTAACGTAGCAATGCCGCGGGGAATGAAGCCTAGATCCCTTTTACTGTCCCTGGTCCCTTGCTGCCAGCCGCGCTTGTGACTCTATTAGCAGGCCTTCTAAATGGCTCATTTCCGAAAGAGCGCGTTCCCCTGCTGTCGGACGGGGGTTTGTGCTTAACGTACTCGGAGATCGTTCAGATGAGCTTCAGACGTTTGCTTGAGTCTGCATAAATTGTGTGTTACAGCAACGCGCTATAGAATTCCTTCTCTGAAAGGAGGAAAGCCATCAATTCAGTGTGTCTCTGAAGATGTTTCTGACGAGTTTGATTGCTGCTACTGTGCAAACAAAACAGAGTTCTTTGGGACTGAGGACAGGAAACCTTTTAAGAACGACTGGTTTTCACCTGGCAATTTTCAGAACTTCAATCATTTCAACTTAATCATAGGAAATATAAATCTATTTGATCCATTGAATTTTCATGCATTTGTGACCCTGCTGATGCTTGTTAATTATCAACCTCATTTTTGAGGCGTTAAAGAGACAGGAGTTGATTCTGAGTTGTTAGTCCATAGTGAATGGACAGTAGCAGAAATTTGTATGGAGTGGTGCTTCCCACTTTGTCTGTTCGTCAGCAAGTGAGAATTGAGAGTTGATACAGTTATGGTTTTAAACGATGGAAAAAAAGAAGAGAAGAACATAATTGCATTTGTTGGTTATCAAGTAGCTGTAGAAGGGACTGGTGAAATTTTTTGTGTGCTGTTTTGTATTAGAGTTCCCTGAAAACTTTTGAGGTAATTTGCTGTTTTAGCCATGTACTAGGTTTTAATCAAAACTGCTGAACTTTGAAGTAATTTGGTTTGTGATTATACAACTTTCCAGAACTTGGCGTTAGAGCCCTCCTTTCCAGATGCTGGTTTAAGGCATCTGCTTCAGAATTGAAACTAGTTGGGAAAAGAGAGATGTGTGATTGTGGTCACTCGTGGGCTTTTTTTTTTTTTTTTTTTATTGTTGTAGAGTTGTGAAGAACGTAGTCGTTTAGCTTGGAAAAGACCCTAAAAATCATGTTGTAAGTAAACTGAATTTGTCAAGGCTGATACAGCTTAGACCTAGCAATGAATAGATCTTTTTTTCTACTTTAATCATGGGTGAGGGAAAGAGCTCTTTTAAACAGGCTGCTCTGTCAAATTAGTTAAAAACTGACTATTCAGTAAAGGGCCATCCAGCTCATATTTCTGCTGCATGTGTAAACTTCCAGGGTACTTCAAACTCTGTTCTATAAATGCTTGTTAAAGTTTGTTAACTCTTGCAACATAAGGAGGGATTTTCTGATTTGCTGGAAAAAATGTTGAACTTGTATACTTTTAGCAGGGAACTGAATTGGGACAGAAAGTCAGAGTTCTCCTGTTCTTTTAGTAGTGCTTGCTGTATAATCTCAGGGTTTTGCTCAAAAGGGAAATAAAATGCAGGAATTATTGGAAAGTAATTTGCGGGGAAAGGAAGTTTACTGAAGACTGCTCATTTTTAGATTGCCTTTTCTTAAATTCTGTTGAAGTGATCAAAAAGGGTCTGAGGTGATGCAGCACTTACCATTTTCTTTTGTCTGCTGTTATGCTTTCAAAGAAATTGTTGTGCAGTTACCTAGTAAAGAAAATATATACTTGGTATTCTGTGAAGCTGTTTTCCAGCCTCCTCTCCATCCAGTAATCTTTGCATGGAGCACTCAGCCAAGTTTTAATGAACTGTGTCAAGTCGGTTATTAGGCTTTCATCTCTTCACTGATTACTGTTTTACTACCCGCCTTCCCCCGCTCCCTCCCCCGGCATTTCCCACAAATTCTGTTTCCTGAATCATGGCAGAGGAATTTTCTAAGGGTTTTTGCTCACTTCACCCTCCTAATGCTGTGAAATTCCTCTTGCTCTAAGCTGTCAGATAACTTATCTGTTAGTCTCTTGGTCCTCTGTTTCAGAACGGAAAATAATTTTTTGTGAAAAACTACATGATGTCACATACTTAAAACTTTGCAGTGGGTCAAGCAATGGGGTTTGTTTTAGTTTTGTTTCTTGGTTTCTTTTTCATGAACATGCATCAAGCTCTGCATTACTCAAATTTATGATTAAACACAGTTTTTATTGTTCAACAAAATGGAGAATTGTAAAGGAAGACAGAAAAAAACCTTGTGAAGAAATAGTCATAGCTGTAGAAAACAGCAGTCTTACTACCAACAAGTGTGGATTTTGCTTCAATCTGTGCAATGTGACAGAAGTAGTACAAACACAGAAGTCGATGATACTGTTCCCCAAACTGTAATGTGGACATCTTGGTTGGGTAACTGTGGCTCATAATACATTATGCTGTTAATGAAGATCTTGCTTCTTCAGCAGATGTACTGTTGGAGAGGAGAGGAGAGGAGCAGTAACAGAAAGCTTTTTGAGGCAGGTATTTGTGCAGTTGCTGTTTTTACAGGAAGTGAAGCGGCGTAGTTCTTCGCCTAGGCTATTTCATTGAATTGGTGAGGAAGTAAAAAAAAAAAAGCACTTCTAAATGTCAAGTGATTCGTTAGTTTCTTTCCTGAGTGAACTGTCTTTACTGTTTTTTCCCCTTCATATTCTTAGGTGGTCATAATGATGTTGAATTAATTAATATTTTCTGATTTTTTAGTCAATATTTACAATTGACTTTTATTATAACAGGTAGTTGATGCTAATATAATTCAGAAATATATATCCTTTAAGATAGAAGAGGTGATAGGCAGTCTTGGTTGTTTGCTTTGGTTTAAAAAAAACCAAACAAAACCCCTCATTTAACACAAAACCCCACAGTAACAAAAAATATTTCTGTGTCTTGTGTTTTTTAGAGCACTGTTTCTGGATTTTGCTTGAGGGATTTCTTTTGCTGTTCTCTTGTGTTTTGGGTTGATAACCTCTCTGTTGAGCTTCAGCCTGTCAATCGTTTCCTTCCTTCCATCTGCCACCTACAGTTCTCCCACTAATACAGAGTGGAGAGTCATGTTTTAAGTTAAAAGCTGGAGCAGTGTAAAGGGTTTGTAAAGCTCTTGCTTTTGTTGAGAACACGTGAACAAATATTGAGACAAGTGTGATTTTTGCAAGTTTTCTAGATCTCAGAAGGTTTCATTGTAACCAGAAAGTATAAAAAATAAGTCACTAGCTTTGAACAATAAATACTTACTTCATGGTATTGATAATTAGTAGGGGAGATATATTGTTGCTGCCTTGTGGAATAATTGGAACACACTTGAAGAATCTGCATAGTTTCAGAGATGTTTTTGTAAATTAGCTTCTGATAAAGGAGATGGTTTCTCTGCTTAAGAAAGTCAATCAGTTTAGACACAGTAGAAGCAGCTCTGTGTAGCTTTATCTTCAAACACACACTTGTGGGAATATTCCCACCTTGTGGGAATAGCAAGTTGCGTGCTTTTCCGGTGGTTTGTCTCATTTTTGTAATTTCATACTGTAGTAAAGAGACTTGGTGGAGCTTGATGTTTTGAGGACTGACACTGACTTTTAAAATAAAGGCCTATGTGCGGTGTTGAATCATCTAAATGGATCACGTGAAGTTTGGGAAACAGTGCTCCTAATAGGCCACTGATTAGTAGCAGATATGTTAGAAGTGTTTTATTCAGAGTAACTGGTTCTGAATTGTACACAGTTGAAATCTGGTGCAGTATTTTGCTATATTTGTTATAAAACAATTTTTTTTTTTTTTTTTATTCCATCTGTACTCTACAAGAAGAAAATCTGTTGCAGATGTAACATACAGTAGCATAAGAAGCCTCTTGAGAACAGCTAAAACTGCTTGACAGATGGTAAGAGGCATTTGGGAAGTGTTATTTTAATTTTGAGGAAATAGCTTGGACTTCTGGTGTTAGGAGAGGAATAAATAAACCTCATTTTCTTCACGTTCTTAATTGTGGATATGAGGTTTTATCTCTGCATGTTCCCTCTGTGCACTGATCATTCATCCACTAAAAATATTACATCTGTCTCTCTGGAAATTCTTAAAGGTTACAGTGACTTTGACACAATAGCAGAATGTGAGTATATCTTACTCTTTTTTTTCATTCAAGCATTCATTTGTCCATTTGAAAGTGTCCTCATTGCATCGAAGCTTGAGCTAGTTCATATGCTATCTGTGTGTTCATACATTTTCCAGTGCATTAATCCCGTCACCCAGTGTTTGTGTTGTAGTACTGCAGAAGTTGTTAATATGACTATTCAGTTGAGATAAGGAAAACCAGCATGTTTCGTTCCAGAGTTATCTTTTGCTTACCTGCAAGCAGAAGCCATGGTATGTTCAAAATACCAGTGGGTTGCTTTTGAAAAGGATTGGACTTGGAAGTGCTGCTGAAATACTGGTCATTTAAACGTGTGAAAAAATATTTTTATTGAATTTAGTGTTCTTGCACAGCTTCTGGAAGCATGTGTGTTGTAGGAGACTTCTTTTGATTGACGGTTCTGGTTATTTAAGGAAGTACACATGAGAAAATAGGTGGGTTTTTTTTAGAATTCA